CTAAATATTTCGTACAATAATTTTTCAATAAAATTAGTGTTCTTAACACATAGTTGTCCATAGAAGAGAAAATAACTTTATCATAAAATAACAGACAAAATTTACTTAAGCTTCATAAGATATATTGTGTTAGCAAATTATTTTTCTCCGCGTGATGTCTGTAAGTGGAACAAGTTTTCGACTTGCCTGCAACATCCCTGAGATCTAAGCAGCTGCCCTCTTGTGCCGTTCGGCGAACTAAAGTTGCAGTCGGTAATCCATCTCTCATGGTAAAAGGGCCCGCGCAGCAGCTAAGACCCACCCTGTAGGTACAGTGTGCACGGTTTGGTTGTGTTCCGTGCTAGGTGCATGAAATGTCGATAAAAACGGTTGTTATACAAGATTAACATTAATCGACCAACGAGTTATTAATTATAAGAAATCGCCGTATAAAAAATCTGAAAATTATAAAATTATTGAAACAATCTTAAAGAAATTGAAATTTACAGGAAAATTAGAAAAAATACTGAGAAAAATTTTCACCAGGGCAGAGCCACTTTAAACTCTGATTGTAGTATAATCGGTTGCGGTTCACTTAATGCTGCAAATGCTCCGTAGCGTTCTTTGTCTCTTTCCTTTTAATAAATAAAGTCGGTGAAGAGGAAAAGTCATGACGTATAGACACCGCAGCCGTCGATGATTAACTCTCGGCGATTAACTATCGACAGCCGACATTCCTGTCGACGAGAGGTCTTTCTCTATAACTTTCTAATACAAAATGTGTTTTCAGTTGCCGCGTTGACAACTCTACTAGCTGAGTTGATTAACGATTAAGTTAAGTCTGACCAAAGTAGCCCTCGGGATCTTTACGCCATATCTCGTCAAAGTTTCCCTCGCAAACGAATGAGAATCGATATCCGATTGTGTATCGATACTCGTTGATTCAACTTCATGGCGACGCGCGAAAGCTCGCTGACAAGATGGAGTCCGGACGTTTCATCGCGCTAGCCCACGTATGTACGTATCGGCGCGAACGAAGGTAAAATGGATAAAAGATAAAGGTACAGACGTTCGTTTCGGCATGTCGTATAATCATTCGCCTCGAAGTTTTACAAATTTACGTCGACCTCAGCGCGGCGTCGCCTTCCTTTCTTCCCGAATTGCGCCACTTCCGCGTCCCTGAAAGGATATCACTTTTTCTAAACGCCTCGTAATCGAGAGTGGCATTTCAGAAATCGATTCGGCACAATATAACTCACGACCGCGACACACAAGTATATTCTATCCCATCTTTACGGTAACAACGTATCTGACCGATGTATATTATTTTCCAGAGCGTCGAGAAGAATAGGTTGCGCCGAAGAAACTATATAGCCTCTCGGTCCATCGAGGCGTACGAAGGCAACGTAACGGAGCGGACGGCCGGGGGGATTCGTGAGAAACGGGCGGCGGTCAGTGTTGATCGTCCGTGAAAATGCCCGGAGAGCACGGCCGTCGTGCGGGGGACAACGATAAAGCGCGAGAGCGGGATCGAGTCTAAACGTAAAAAAGAAAAAAAAGAACGGGAAATATCGCGCAACGAGTCATTTCGTCTCTCGGGAGAAAGTAATTTCGACGGGCTCGAAGGGCGGTTATTAACGGTCCGGGGATGATTTTGTCTCGCGGAAATTCCGCTCGGGGCGAGGCGGGAGGAGCCTACGAGCGGCGGCGTCCTGGGGTGGGCGCACGCATCCCCGCGGAGTACGAAACCGCGCGGTGGGGGCGCGGGGGAGCGCGTACGCGCGCGGATTACTACGCGCGCGGGGGCGTAATGGTGGGGCGCGGGAGGAAGGACGCGGCCCGTCGGGCATCAGTTCAACGCGAGCCGCGAAGGAGTGTGGGTCTCGCGCGCGCGTGTGTGCGTGCGTGCGTGCGTGCATACGTGCGTGCGTGCGTACGATTTGTCGTCGCGCTTCGCATCGGTGGGCGTATTAATCGACGCCTGTCGTCGTCGTCGTCGTCGACGTTGCCATCGCCGTCGCCGTCGTCGCCGGCGGCAGCGAGTGACAATTCGACAACGCAACGGTCGCTCGGCTGATCTTGTGCGTCGCGGGGTGCGCCTTCGACGGCTCTCGCGCGCCGGTGACGGAGAGCCCGTGACGCGATAACCGCGAGTGTGATAACCGGGCGCCCGCGCGTATTACGTAGCGCCGGGAAGCGTCTCTCGCCCCCTTCACGCGCGCGCGCGCGCGCGCAACGACGTCGAAGGTTCGCGACGCGGGCTCGTGTGCCGTGAACATAGCCGTGTGTGGCGCGACGCGGGAAAGAGCGGCGGATGCGCGTATCGCCGACGGCGAGCGGAGGTGCCGCGACGCGGGATGAGCGCGAGGGAAGTCACCCTCTTCGGCGGATCCCCCTGGGGCTTCCGCATGCACGGCGGCTGCGACACGCATCAACCCCTGCGCATCTCCAGGGTAAGTGAACGCCGCGCGACATGCACGCTCGCGGTCACCTGATCGCCGAATCGGAATAATTGCGTTCCGCCGAAAGGTCATAACCTGAAAGCATCCCGCGATCACGTGACGGCGCGATCCTTTTTCAAGCTGGAAGCGTCGAGCGCGGTCGTTTCTACGGTTTTTTTTTAGACTAACACCCAGTTTCTCGTACAAAAGCTTGGATTCTGAGATTGGATTTTTCAGAGGTCACCGGATTGATGGGAAGCCGTAAGCTTTCGACGCTTCTAGCATTACGCGTCGTCTACTATGCACGGAGCGAGGCGTAAGGGAGCAAATGAAGTTTATTTCTTACTTCTACCGCAGTTGTTAGGCCCGGTCTGGAATGAGTGGTTAGTCGTTAGTCAAAAGTCGACGCTATATGTCGATCCCTCTTCTTTCATTCAGAAATACTACATTGCACAGTCGTGCATTGTCGGCAAATTTTTTACGCATATCGACCTGCCGGTATAAAATACCATAGAGTGTTTCTCGTTGCGAAAAACGCATCGTAGATTAGACTTGAGAGCTGAAGCAGGGGCAAGAAATCAAATTGATTTATTCCCTTAATTGCTCCTACGCGGTAAAAATATCAGAGTGCAATTGACAGAAAATCGTTGAAACAACGTCAGTATTAATAAATGAAAGACACCAGATTGTTATCTTAATAATGTTTAGTTCAGTGCTTAAAATTAAATTCCATAGCAAATGCAATTGAGCGAATTATTTGTGTTTGTGGCAGACCGCGACGTTAACGTTTAATTCGGGCAACTTCATTTTGCGTAATTCAACAGCATTTTTCTTCCCCATGTACTCCTTGCTCCAGGCCTGCTCCACGCATCGTAGACGACGCATTAAACGAAAACCGAGGGGGAAACCGCTGACCATAATCTTGTACACCGATGCCCAGTGGACATTACTTGGCATTTTTTGGGCATTAGTTTGGGCATTATATGACATAATGCAACAAAATAAGATAAAACAAGATAAGATAAATTTGCTGGGCCATTAGTGGGCATTGGTGTACAAGATTTTGGTCAGCGGTTTTCCCGCTCGACGAAAACATTTTTGAGACTATCCCGGCGAGAAATGACTCGTCGTCGATCGACGTAAATTTGTGACGGTCTTGACGTCGTTTCGCCCATCAACCGACGAATCGTTTCTCCCTGATGGGATCTTGGGCGTGGGTTGACTATATTCTTTGACGAAATGATTTCTTGCACAAATGACGTATCGCAATTACACGTGTATACACGTATCGCATGAAACTATAATATCGCGCAACGAAATGCCGTATGTACGTCTCATCGCTCCATGATGCTAATTGTTATTAATGATAGTAATTATTTGCTTGCTCCGAGGCAAGGCGCGCCAGTCATGTAATTTATGTGCGACGCAATGCATACAGAGCGGAGCAGTGTATGTAATCATAATTATAATACATCCCGAATTTGAATATTTGATGAAAGCACATTGCTGTAATCGTTAATTAACAAATATCGCATTACACGTATATACAGTCCCGCAATTCCGACTCGTCGACATTATTAATGTCGACCGACTCGTTCAATTTATCTGCCGGATATTTCCGCAAGTTTGCCGCGCTTCGCGCGACGGTGTCGCGTAACTGTTGGAAAAACGAGGGGGACAAGGAAAGAAAGGAGACGGAAGAGCGAGACGTACGCAGCTTCTGCTCGCTATTATCCAATTTGGGCCCCGTCTTGGGCCCGCCGTTCATCACCGTGAGCGGTGAAACGAGATAATCGTGCGAGTGGAAAAAGTTACATCGATCGGCCCCGCGGTACACTTTTATCACTGAACGCGCCACCGTAATTTTCCTCGCGACCACTGCAAATCCGCGTCCTGCCTCCCGCGTCCGCTCCACCGCGGACGATTTTCCCAGCTCGCGAGAACGGAAGATTTCCTCTCCGTTTTTACTCGCGGATAATTATATCACGTACTCGGGACGAGGTGTCGCGCAACTTTCCAACTCGCCACCGTAAGTTTCCTCGCGATCTTCGCGGATCTACTTGCGCGCGGACTGCGCTCCGGAGACAACGCTTTAAAGCCTAATCTACAATGGGCTCTTCGCGCCCAGAAACATTTCTATCTCGTAGTCGATAAATACGTTTAAAAAATTTGCGCAAGTGGACAAGTTGTACGTTATATGCCGCACGGCGATGGACAGAAGTGGTTGCGACACGTTTCTTTTTACTGAGTTTAGAGACGCGCACTTGGATTCAGGTATACGTTCCCCAACACTTTTTATCTCTGAAATGAAAATTTTATGACTGGGGGAAAATCTTCTAAGTCGCCAGAAGTAATTAAAAACTTCAGAAGATTACTTGAACATGTACGGCAAATTTTTATGCTTAAACTCGCAACGTTTCTATCATGGTTTGTGGTCAACTCTTTATTAAAACTACCTGTAATTTCCTTGTTAGATCAATTGAAAGGGACCACAAACCATAGTCGAAACGTTGTGAGTTTAAACATGAAAATTTGCCGCACATGGACTGGTAATCTTCTCAAGTTTTTATGAAAATTTTACTTGAGAAATAGATTGAAAACGCTCAAGATGATTTTGAAATGGCCATCGAGTAAAATATTCCGCGGAGAAGATTTTGGAACGCAACCTAAATAAAAACCTTAAAAAAAACCATTGTGTCCATCACTGTACAATCGCACACTATCGACCAATTTTTTAAGCGTTTCGCTTTGCCTATGTAAAATAGAATGTCTCTAGATGCAGATTGCAGATTAGGCTTTAGCTCGCGGGGCAACTTTCCGTTTGCTTATCGTTTGCAAAGACATCGATGCTACGTTGTTGCGTAACTTTCGAAAACAGGCGATTAGAAAATCCGTGAGATCCAAGGTATGCCCGCTCGACGGCTTCCTGTTTGTCCGACGCACATTTAAATGAGGTCGATAATTTATTCAACGCTCGCGGATCGCGGGACGACGCTCGCGCGGCCGCGCGATTTCAGACAGTTACGATTTGATCGAGCCACGGCGAAGGTCGGCAACGACAGCCTTGACGTGACTCTCCTGCCCCGTGCCACCTGCCGTCGTGGCACGTGTGCCATGCCTCCGTAATGCGAGTCTCGCTTCTCTCGAGCGCGCGATTTTTCATCGTCGGCCGCGAACCACGTGTCCGCCCTGATTACGAAGATAACGCGAATCGGAGCAGCCGCGCGGGGACGGGCGATCCCACGATTCCGGCACGCGGAACCGTGCCTCGGGTTTCATTTAAAGATGTTTCGTACGTGCAATCGTAGCACGAAGTAGCTGAAACTCGATTTTGACCAATGTATGCTCTTCTCATGTGGTTTGGGCAATAAAGATCGCGTAGACTCCTACTACGCTGAGAAAAATGTCCGATTAAGTATAATCGGAAAATCCAATTACATAATAACAAACAGATATATCCAATTAAATTGTGTATCCGATGAAAAATATGATTGGTTTTTCAATCAAATTTCATCGGGTGTATCCATCATTTAATCGGAAAGATTAACCGTCGGAAACGCCATTTAATTGGTTTATCCGATGAAAATTTTTCTCAGTGCAGCTGGAGTTGAGAAATGCATTTTTCATTTTTCCATTCGAATCACGGCGGTCATACGTTTTATGGGACAATTTATTTCGTTGCGAATTAAAATTCTTATAACTTGTAATTGCCGCAGTGAAACTGTTAAACCAGAGGTCAGTCGACTCTCCATCTTTTTCTATATTATCTAAGAAGAGACACAGGTAACCTCTGGCTAATGTTTCACCAGGAAATAAAAAACTGAGCTTTAAAGGAATTTGCGCGGTTAAAATTGACCGCGCGACGAATGTCGAACGTTCTCTCGAGATGACGTTCACGGAATTGACGATTACGTCTCTCTATTTGGGGGGGGACTAAGTTTCGACCTGACCCGCTGTATTTTAAGATCGCGCGACCAATCTCTGACTGATCGAATTTCGATTCCGACACGTTGCTAGTCGCGTTAGAAGAAAATTTTTTCCGTCGTCAGTTTCTGGACACGCCTCCCACATGCGCAGCTCGCCCGCATAGCTGCGCGACACGCGACTTTTTATTATGTAACGTAGGTGATGTTGTGACGCGGCAAATGATTCATAAGCGCCACAAGCGCGCAAATTGCGGCGCGCGCCGTGAAATGGAACTTTGTTTGAATTGCGTATCGTGCGCGTGACGCGAATATATAACATTTTGCAACGTTAACGATACTACGCGCCACGAGCTCGGTACATTCCTTCCTAGCCAACATGGGTCAAAGATCGCGCCGAAATCGCAGTGGTCCGCGGTATTTTCGCCTCGGTTAACATATTCTGTCGTCACGTCGGTATTTTTCACCGTTTCCCCCGATAGCGATAGTCGTAAACCCAATCTACAACGTGCTCTTTGCGTCTAGAAACATTCTGTTTTATACAAGCAAGTTAAAACACTTAAGAGACTCGTCGATAATGTACGATTGTACAATGTATATCGTGTTGTGTACAATTTATTCACCTTGCACAAATATTTTGAACGTATTTATCGGCTACAAAGTGGAGTGTTTGTAGACACAAAGAGCACAGAGTAGATTAGGACTTAAGGCCTGCTCAGGGATGCACAGCGAGTATCTGGAGACACATTTGGTTAAATTTCGCGTTTGGATCAATTGTTGAAGCCGAGGGGTAAACCGCTGGGGGCATTGTGGTGTACAGATTTCGGGCATTACTAAACTGAGAAGAATGTCCGATTAAATATAATCGGTTTATTTTTCAAGTATAATTGGTTTTTCCAATCGAATTTCATCGGTAACTGCATTTCATCAGATGTATCCACAATTTAATCGGAAAACGTAATCGGCAAAATTAACCAGCGGAAACACTATTTAACTGGTTTATCCGATGAGACTTTTTCTCGACGCGGGCATTGCTGTATATTGGTGTATATGATTTTGTTCAGCGGTTTATACCCCTCGGTCGAAGCG